ATTCTCTTAATGAATAGAATGATTTGTTCTAATGGTGTTTGTAAATAGGATCTGAAGTCTGCATCTTGTACAGCAATTAACCACTAAGAAGAGTATATGCAGTGTGTTATTTGTTGAAACCGTACTTCCGATTTAATTAGAAACTGTCTCATTGCTGTTTATCAATAAAATTTTGAAAAAAAAAAGAAATACAAAACTAATGCAAAATATAATCATTTAATGGAAAATTTAAAAAAAGATATGCACATACAATAGCAAAGTTTTACATTTAGTTGAGGTAGAAAAATGCAAAGAGATATGAACAAATACAAATAAAGGGGAAGAGAGAAACTGGCTCTGCAGAGCAAGCTTGAGCTGAGTAAAGGAGAGGAAAAATAAAATCTAAAATAAAAAACAAGTATAACATAAAAGCACATCTTGAGGCACAAGACTGACTACAAGGAGGAAAATCAGGATAGTAAGCTTTTAATGATGTCTCATTTATAACAATTCATTACACATATTGTGGGTTCTCATGAGAAGTCCACATATGGGGTCCTGAGAATTATTCTGCGCATGTGTCCTGGGATCTTGTAATGAACTCCTCCAGCCATCGGGGGCTTGCCCTGCCTTCCTACCTCAGTGGTAGAGTTATTCTGAGACTGATATGTACATAAGTAGTGATGGATTGATTATAGGCTCTTCTAATTTTGTTTCATGCTGATTTTATTCTACTTATGTAAGGTATATGGTAATTCATACACATGAAGCATTCTATTATACATTATATAATATATATTGAGTCATTTTCAGTCTATTCAATTTTGTGTCTTGACACCCTATAAAACAAAGGAAATATAGTTGCAAATGCAAAATTGAATAAAAATTGATAGTGTTGTTTTTAAATGGAATTGTTAAAAAGGATTTATAAGGTTCTTTCACCTATTTACACTGTTATTTATTTCCTGAAAATAAAACTAGAAACAAGACAAAATGTGTAAGAATAACTCCATAGAGCTGCTAGATCAATATTGTTGAATGTATAATTTTGAAAAATATTGTCTAATTTTCCTTCTGATAGGTTGACATACATTCTCATTGGCAATGTGTGAGACAGCGTTTGCTTTACTCCAAAGCGGTGAATACAGTATACTTATATTGCTATGAAGGCATAAATTCAGATTACTGTTAATCTCATAAGTAAACATAGTATCTGAATTTAGTTTTAATGACATGACTCGAATAAAGGTTAAGACATCCCATTTCACATATTTATGCAACTTTTAAATTTCCTTTTCTATGAATTATGTTATTGTTTACTTTCTATCTCCCTTTTGAGTTGTTATTAATGTATATTTTTAATTTTTTATTAAATTTAATGAGAAAACATAGCAATGAGATAGTTTCAAAACAGGTTAGTAGGACAGTTACAATTAACGCATTGCATATTATTGTCTTCATAGTAATTATTCACAGTACAAGATGCAGACATCATCTCTTGTCTAAATAAGATTAGTACAAATCTTCTTCTCATTGAACTAAGAGAAAGTAGCTGTATATCTATCCTAATGATTTTGTACATGCATATTATTTTTCACTACAAAGTAGTCCTTCATTTATATCCCCCTTTTTTGTTTTGTTTTGTCAGAGATGGGTGTTCCATTGCTGTTAGAGAAGCTGTATTTGGAGAAGTCTTTAAAGGACCTTTTCATACTTGATGCCAGTTCAAATATTGTAGGTACATTAATTCAGCAAAATATTCCAATATATCATCCAATAGTCCATAATAGTTGTGGGTTATCAGCAGAGCTGGTAATTGTCAGAAGTTGTTGACTTGAATTTTTGACAGTTCAGCATATTAATATGGATTTACTTTTGATACCTTGTGGTTATACTTTTCTGCTGGATGGTTAAGACCAAATTAAAACAAGACCTATATAACTAAATCTGACAAGGTCAGTCAAATCCCCTCAGGATCTACCCTGAAACCATGCAGAGCAGCTTGTAGATCTTTTGTCAGTGTCAGCCATCTGGATGAGTCACAGCCGTTGCTTGACCAATTTGCTCTCTGTGAAATTGTTATTCTTTTAAAACTGTATTTCTGGAATTGCTTTGTGTAGTGAGGAAATTAGCTCTTAGTCTGTGACATTTTTTGCAAATTTCAAAAATCGGTTTGTTTATTTATTAATTATTTGGACTTTGCTTATGTATTAGTGGCTGGTTTTCCCCTCTGATGTAGAAGCTGGTTTTTTTTTTTTTAAATGTAGCAAAGCAGTGACTTTTTTTATAGTTCTACATTTTACCTTTTTTGTTTGTTTGTGTGTGCAGGGTCTCACTATGCAGTTTGGACTTGCAGTGATCCTCCTGTTTTCTGCCTCCCTAGTGCTGGGATTAAAGTCACACACCACCATACCCAGACTCCATCATCAGCTCAGCATGCCCAAGCAGTGGGGCTGGTGCTGCATGTAGTGCCAGGGATTGAACTCTGGCCTCATGTGCTTGCCTAAGCAATGTAGTTCTATATTTTAAGCATAGAAGACACTCTCCAGCTTAAGGTAAAAAAATGTTTCTCCCCCCCCCCACTGTTATGGTTTTTGTCTAGGTATCCCCCAAAGCCTCATGTAGTTATAAGGTAGACTCCTATTGTTTGTGATTAATCCATGATCCAGTGCTGGGATTATGGGTGTGAGTGCTACACCCAGCCTGGGGCAGATAGCCTGAGTGCAACGTAAGAGAGACAGACTCACTCTCTATTGTTGTTGCCGCTACTCCTCCCTTTTGTTCTTGCTGTTTTGCACCACCATGAACTGCCACCCTCTGCCATGTACCAGCCTGCCTTGGAGCCAGCCGAGTATGGACTGAAACCCCCACGACTGTGAGCTAAGTGAATCTTTCCTTCCTTAATTTTGGGTGTTGGGTATTTTGTCCCAGCAATGAGAGAAAAGTAATCAAGCCACCCACTATTTATTTTTACCATCCAATTGGACAAAGAGGCCAGGATAATAAAACTGGTTTTCACCTATTTCTTTATAGCTCTTCACAAGTAGCACATTTCATTTTGAAGTGTAGAACCACTTGCCACTTACTATGTTGGGATCCTGGCCTGAACACAGAAAGGATCTTACTTGTGCGTCCATATCACACTTCGAACAAAACCTTATCTAATCAGCCTGGTCATCCTGAGGAGAATGCACTGGAAGGATGCAAGAGTGGGTGTGAGAAGGCTGTCATTATCTTTCAAACAGGTGTTTCTAGGGCCCCATCCTGTAGCTGGATATGACAGGTAAATACAATAAAACGTTTTGTTCTAGTAGAGAAGTCAAAGAGGGAACAAATAAATACAGAAGACTAGGGAGTGAGAATTGCTGTCAAAACACAACAGGGTGCAGGGTGGAGAGCAGAGGTTGCCATCTTTTAGAGACGGCTGACAACGTGACACTTGGACTGAGAGGGTGATATTGGAGCAGGGACTTGGGCGAGCGAGGACTGGGCAGGAGAGGGCAAGGGGCGTCTGGCAGCTGTTCGGACTGGGAACGGCTTTGGCAACTCTACCAGCTTTGAGCTTTCTTTCCAGAACTGTGAATGAGCGTTGATGCAGCATCTGTGGCTTCGAAAGGATTTTCTGGCTTTTCATGGAGAAATAATTGTAAGGAACAAGAACAGAAATGAGAATTAAAAAAAAAAAAGAAGCAAAAGCACTCTACTCCTTGATCCAGGCAAGAGACTAAAGGATTAGATTATGGTAATGGCCGTGGAAATGGAGAAAAATGAACCTAAGTGAGGAGTTAATAGGTAGCATGGGTGAGATGTCTCTTTCAGAAAGGGGGACAGGGAACTATAAATAATGTCTTCCAGATATTTATTTATTTATGTAATCTTTTATTTATTCATTTGGTACAGAGTCTCACTACACAGCTCAGACTCATAGTGATCCTCCTCCTATCTCAGCTGCCCCAGTGCTGGGTTTCAGTGGCCAGCTCAGCATGGGGCCAGCACGGCACATGGTACTGGGGATCAAACCCCGGTCCTTGTGCTTGCCAGGCAGGTGCTTAGAGCACCAAGCTATCTCCCCAGCCCCAGCATATCTTCCAGATTTATTAAGATCTGCAACACTGAAGTAGGAGCAGGCTTGGTAAATCATAAACATCACAATTTTACTTTCTTTTGAGGATTTAGGCAAAATCAGAGTGAGCACTATTTTTGGACTGCTGTGAGAGAATCAGATACGGAGGTTTAGTATGGGAACATGGAGGTACTACCTGTCCCTGGAATTTTCTGATGATCTGATTTAGTTGAATAGCTCTATGGAAAATCACAGGAGAACAAGAGGTTCCTGCTAGAGGAGGTTGCACGTGACAAGAGTTCCAGGATGATGCTCCTGTTTTCGCTAGGCATGGTCTTTCTGTTCAGCTGGAACTGGGGTAAGTTCTGGGGCTTCAAGGCCACTAACGTTCATTGAGATGGGCAGATGCTAGAGAAGAAATTTTAAAACTTAGGTTTTACAACTATGCAGAAGTCTGTGAACTGTGACAAAGGATATTTCCCCCCTTCTCTTTACAGGTGCACAAGGTGCTTTCAGAGGTATGACTGTTAGTTTAAAGTCCTTAGACAGGTCATTTGTAACATGTTTAGGAATAAGATCTTCAGACAGGGCTATAATCCATCTTAGTACAGACTTTGGAGCTTACCTTCTCCCAGACATGTCTATTTCTTGGAGTAAGGAAGCTAAAATCCCTTTCTTTGCTTCCTTTTTCCCCTTCCTGGACAAAATCATCAGGCTAGGATAATGGATTTATTTCTTGAGGGCTGTGGATAAACTTTACAGGAACCTACACTTCTTAAAATAATGTACAACATTTAGGGTATGTCTGCATAGATTTTTCTCTCAGAAGATTGCCAAAGGAGCTCTAATATAGAAAGGTTAGGAGCTAGTAAGCAAAGATAATCTGCAGAAAGCCCCTAGTTCAAGAGAACCTCCTCTAGACTGCATGTTCTGAGTACCTCTTTCTGTATATGGCAGATTCTGCAAGACTATGCTATAAATGTAAAAATTATCATCTTGGACATTGCTATGGAGTCATGGATATCTGTTTCCTGAATTACAAACAATCCTGTGCTACAGAGAACATTTATATACTCACAAGCAAAGGTAATAGGACATAGAAAATAATAGGGAAATAACCACCTGTTCCCCTTAGAAGCCACTGTGTTTCTTGTCCATTTGTTTCTTGCCCTCAGAATGAGAGCTAAGTCAGGTGGATGAAGATGGGTGGTCATGCAGAAGGGATGAAAAAGGTGGATTTTTCCTGAAGATGATATTTGGCCAAGGAGATGCTAATGTCCTTGGTAAATTAGGGAAGAAAATCCACTCTCTGGGTCAGCAAAGAGCAGACTCAGCTTTACACCTTATTTAGGCCTAGAAAAAGAGTAGAGGATGCAAAGATGGGTTATTGTCAGGAATATGATAAGAGGAAATGGGAGTCATTACAATTGTGTCTCTTCTCTTTCACCTCCTCAGGTCGAAGTATGTACTATCGTTCGAAACTGTCATGTATGACCAACTGCGAGGACATCAACTTTCTGGATTTTAACAAAAAGACAGAGCTCATTTGCTGTAAACATAACAACTATTGCAACCTCCCTGTGGGACTCTAGTTCTCCATCTCCCTGGCCTTGGGGTCCTTCTTTAACTACCCTCTCTACTTCCTTCCCAAAACCTGTACTTTGTTTCGTTCTTCTCTCCTAACCAATGGTAGGAAATGAAAAAGTCAGCTGAAAATGGAAAGATGAGCAGTCATAGGAGAAACAAGGGTAGGCCAGCTGAGGCCAGTTCAAACACTAGACCATGTCTTTGAACAAGTTATCTTGGTCACATCTGGTAGGGGGGTTTGGATTTCGCATGTTTCTGCTGCTGTGAATAGTCTCATACTTGGTTATTTATTATCTCTAATATGAAACTGCAAATTGCTGAGCCAAAATAATACTAAATTTACATTGAGAATTCTGTGACAATATTCTTGTGTGCACTCACTTCCTTGGGGTTGGGACTTGGGTTCAGATTCTCTCAGGATTAACCCTATGGCTTACCAGCATAGTGCTTTTGTCCATGGGTTCTGGAAGTAGGGGAGAACTAATCCCACCTTTCTAGTGAGACCCAACACTTGGTCTTGTTAGTTTGAATTGTAGAGATAATCAGCCAAACAGGAGCTGCTTCGTTCTATGGGCCTCAGATGATAAATAGCTGGCCCTGTTCCTCAAGGTAGGACTGAGTATGTAGTTCAGGTTTTTTTTTTTTTTTGTTTTTTTTTTTTAATTTTAGGGAAGGTTCTACAGGTTGTTCAGGGTCTCACCACTAGATTGGACTTTTAGTGACCCACCTGTTTACAGCCTCCCAAGAGCTGGGATTATAGGCGCACGCCACCACACCCATTCTCAATTGCCCTCTCAGTGCGCCCTGGGGGGACGGGGCTGGCATGGCAGGCCTAGGGATCGAACCCCCGGCCCTGCACCTGCTTGCATGTGCTTTAATCTGCTGAGCTATTTGGCCGGCCCTGTGGTACAGTTTATGCTCCAGAATTTTCCATGGGATTTAACTGCACCACATACTCGGCCCTACCTTGGTGTACAGGGCTAGCTATTTATTGTCTGAGACCCACAGAACACAGCAGCCCCTATTTGGCTGATTAGCTCTACAATTTGAACTAACAAGACCAAGTGTTGGGTCTCACTAGCAAGTTGAGATTGGTCCTTCTCTAATGTGAGTGTAAAACCCGTATTTTTTTTCTTGCTATTTCCCCTCTGACTTTCTCCCCCGGGCCTGGAGACCAAATCCAAGGCCTTGCAAATGGTAGGTTACTGAGTCACACCCCCAGCTCTTTTTTTTTTTTTTTTTTTTTTTCTTTAAATGTTAAGAATGGAGTCCTGAAATTAAATGAGGTCAGGTTGAAAAACAAAGTTTTATTTTGGCCCTTTTGAATGAAAGTATGCACTGTGTCTAAATCAATTATTCACGAGTGAGAAGAATCTGTTTTAGAAGCTTCCTTACAGTCAAAATAACATTGTCCTAATCCTGGAGGTTCTTTTCTGTTTTCCCTTGTCGCGGGATATTCCTTCCGGTTCCACTTTTCAGCTTGGGCACTGAACAGAGTAAGACCGAGGTGAACCTTTTTCTCCATATGATGATGAAACAAATGTCTGTCCTTTAATATGTAAATTTGGCCGGGGAGATGGCTCAGTAGAAAAAGTGCTTCCTTGGCAAGCACAAGGGCCTGAGTTCATTCCCCGGTTCTGCAAAAAAAAAAAAAAAAAAAAAGTACATTTGATTCTTCCATGATTTACATAGTTACACAAGTTTTTCTTTACCTATCTTTTTAGGAGCAGTTAATTTGGCCAATAATCTATTAATTTATAATTGGCTAAAAAATAATTCACAGAACTTTTCACACTGAACCAAAACAAATTTAAAGTGAATTAAAACAACAACAAAAAACTCCCTTGCTTTTAAGTTTTGTTGGGACCATCATTATTTCAACTTTTAATGTCTTCCAGGCACATGCTAAGTATTTTTAGGTATCATGTAATATAGTCTTCACAACTTCCTATAGTGCAGCTATTATTGTAAGACAATTTAATAAGTGAAAAAACTAAAAAAAGGTCTGGTTAGATTGACAAATATTATATAACCGTTTTCCTGCCAGGCAAGGTGGCGCACACCTGTAATCCCACACTCAGGACTCTGAGGGAGGATTGACATGAGTTCAAGGCCAGCCTGGACTGTGTAGAAAATACAAGGCCAACTTGAACTACAAAGCAAGACCCTGTCTAAAAAAAAAAAAAAGTATTCCAGTTACTCTTTCTGCGTAACAAGTTGCTGTATCCACCAGAATTCTGGGTCAGAATTCAGAAAGCAGACACTAGGAAGGGCTTGTCTCTGCTCCTAAGGATTAGATGTAATTTAAAACTGGAGACCAGGGCTGGCGAGATGGCTCAGTGGTCTAAAGCACCTACTT